TTTTGAAAATTCGATAAAATATCTTTTAAGCTTCTATTCTTCAAAGGTCTTGGTTTCTTCGGATCACTTTTGTTCATGATTCTGGTTTTCTTCGAGTCTATTTTGTTTGCACACTCTTCAACTGATGACGATTTGTGCCTTTGAATGTTTTAGGGATATTTATACTTGAAAACTCAAGAAACGAGATTTGTTAGAAACGCAAGAGTATTGTTTGTTATAATCAAAACCAGTGGAGTTATATTGAATCATGGGTCAACGGTATATTTCTTTCTAATTTTTATAATAATACGTGTTAGAATTAGAGTGTGACTCAAATTCTTTGTTGAAGATAATTGAGAATTCTAATTGAAGTGCACATTAAGTGGAATTTTATTTGGAACGCTTTTGAGATTTTATTCGAAGTTTATTCAACAAATTCTAGTTGAAATTTTATCTGGTTGCCCTATTGGGAATTGGAATTTGTATTGGACTTGAAGATAAGGAAATTTTTGGGCATTCTATTTCATCTACAACTCTACTTTCAGGGCTTGAATTTTTCCAAACGTATATTTGACTATTCTCTACAATTTAGTTGGATTGATTTTACCTCATTGTGGATTATTAAGTCATTATTAGTTAGACAAATTGTAAACACAAATCATTATAATTATTTCTCCATATTTTAATGAAATCTCACTTACTCTGCAAATTATATTCTTTTTGTGAGTTTGAGATATTTACTTCATATTGTGCCTATCATTTTTGCTTTTCTCAATAAATTGGTATCAAAGCCAAAAGCTTGAAAATTCTTGGGAGATCGAGGTTTGATTAAGTTAAAAAGTCTAGCTTGATCTTTTGTGATGAAAACCATGAAGTTTAATGTTCCGCTATTGGATCGCGGTACAAAATTTTTCGTTGTGACAGATTAGGAGGCGAGCAGTGCTCGCTTATATGGGATTGACTTTGTTGTGTTTTTTGTTTGCTTCATATTTGTTTTTTAAAGACACGATATTATATAGTCATGATCTCACCATTTAAGAAGTTTATGATTCTCTATATTCAAATGAAAAGATAAAGTATCTCGTTGAAACTTTGGCTAATAGAGATAGGCTTGTTCTTGATGGTGATTGTGCAAGGAGCAAATTAAGGTCTAACATCAAAATCTGTTGCAAGAATTCGGGGTACTTAATTAAGGATTGCTATAAGTTGCAAGGTAGAGAAAATTTGGCTGCAATGTTTCAGAATGGAAATCAATTAGATACTTCAGGTGAAGCCATTGTTAAATTTCACAGTGATGAAGAACCTTTTTACTTATTTCTTACTACTACTCAAAACTTGATAAGGATTGGATTCTTGATACAACTTGCACTTATCTATCCCAATCAAGATTCGTTTTCAACATATGAAACAATTTCGGAAGGTGTTCTGGTAATGTAAAATAATACACCTTATTAGATAGTTGGTATTGTTCGGGTAGGAATATAGTTGTTTGATGGGATCGTTATAACACTTGATGCAGTGAGGCGCGTTCCAAATTTGAAGAGAAATTTTATGTTCTTGAATACTCTTATTTCAAAAGGGTGCAAGTACACTAGTAAATGCGGAGTCTTGAAAGCTCATAAATGAGCTCTTTTTTGTTATATGTTTTACAGTATTATACAAAATATTTGAGCAATTAGCATATTTTAAGAATTCGGGTGGATTTAGAGTTAGATTTTGTATCGTTGGAATCTAATTTGGGGTCTTCTTTAAAGAATACATCTCAGTTAAATTTAGAAGTTATGGGTAAATCCGTATCGCCACCATCATTAGCGGTGTCATTGTATTCAGTTGTTAGTAACATACCCATTTTTTGCCATACGATTTCACATAGGTACAATTCTACTAATTTAGTTGATAGTTTGAATGCAGTTAGGGTGTTGATTCTATCTAAGATTCTTCTTTTGAGACATTTTGTTATGATTCTATTACGGGACTTGTTTCAGCCTTATTTGGTGATCATTAGATCACCTTTGTCCATAGTTGGGTGGCAAAGTTGGAGAATATTTCTAGTTGAAAATTTTGATGGAGAATTTCATTTGTATTTTTGTTGAAAAGTTGAAGTATATTCCTTGCAGTGGAATTTGTTTCCAGGTGGAGAATTTTTGAAGTTTGTTTATTGCAGTGGAATTCGTGTTAATGTGAAGTTTGTAAGAATTTAGGATTCTTTGTTGAAAATAATTGAGAATTCTGATTAAAGTGTACGTTAAGAGGATTAAATTTGGAATGCTTTTGGAGTCGTATTCGAAATTTATTTGACAAATTTTAGTTGAAATTCTATTTGGAAGCCCGAATGGGAGATGAAATTTGTGTTGTATTTGAAGATCAAGATAAGGAAATTTTTGGGTATTTTATTTCATCTACAACCCTACTTCTAGGGTTGGGTTGTTCCCTGTATATATTTGACTCTCATCCACAATTTAGTTGGGTTGATTTTACCTCATTATAGATTGTTAACCTCATTATATGTTGGTTTAACCTTATTGGATGTTTGTTTATCCCAATATTAGTTAAAACAAATTGTAAATGCAAATTATTGTAATTCTTTTTTCATATTTTAGTGAAATCTCATTTACTCTACATATTATATTCTTTTCGTGAGTTTGCAATTTTTACTTCATATTGTGCCTATAATCTCGTCTCGTCTTCAATAAATCGGAGTTATCCGGTATTATCACCGCTTTTCTCAGCAGTACGGATACTCATCAATCTTGTATTTTTCTTTCTAGTTTATGCAACAATACAAATACAATTGTAGTGCTTGTTCGATAAATCTTGCAAAGAATTTAACAATTTTCACTTTAATCACATATCTCATGAGAACCATAACTTTTTATCCACTTTTTAAAAATATATTTCATTTACTTTTACAAAAGTCTTCTAAAACTTTTATCAAATTTTTTTTCAAACAATCCCTAGTTCATGTTCCTTCTGTGTTGGTCCTATTTCTCTTTGTTCAATTGGCAGAATGCCCATGTAAATCTTGTCAACTGCAAACAACATTTTTTTTTCTTCTATAAATTTTTGGGCATCTTTGTAATGTGAATTTTAATTAGTTCATAATTGTAAATTATAAAATAATCACCCCTTCCAATGATGACAATGTCAGTGTACCAATATGCAAAACGAAACATAATAGCATCTGTCTGCTTCTCATAGTTGGTTGTCTCAATAAAAGAATAATTATTATAAACTTTATTGAAAAAGACAAGCATTCATTTCAAAAACGGGCCAGCTTTAATTATTGATTACTATGAACAGCCTTAATTTTTGAAATAAAAATCATGTCAATTATTGGCAATTTGCCTCTTAAAATCAGCATAGCCCTATGTTTAGAAGTATAAAATCGGTTAAGAATGTGAAGATCCGGACATATTTTTGGCGACATTCATGTTTATCTCTAGGACT